GTTAGGTTAATAAAATTTTTATTTTTTTTCATGTTTCTTTATTCAATTATTTCCGATGATCTGCAAGTGTCCTTATATTTATGACCAGGAAGTGTATACAGTGTGTTGCAAAAAAAAATCAAATTAATTAATTCGTATAGAAATATGAAATATTTCCATTAGATACATAATATATATTTATTTATAAAAATTAGAATTATACACACCCTCTCTAAATGCACGCTCATGAGAAATAGTAACATGTTCCCAAGGAGGGTACACTTAGAGGGGGTTGACTGTATTTGGTTTTTTTTCCTGTATATTAAAAAAGGTGGTGGTGGTGATTATTGATATATTGCTCGCTACTCTAGTTATAATTACTAAAAATGGATAAGATTTATTGATAAATAAAAGATAATAATTGTTATTTCTAAAAAAACAATTGAAGATTATATTAAAACATTAAAACAAATTTTTTAATCTTAGAATTAATGCGAAATGTAGCCTTCTGAGATTTTTGCTGATGTATCATTTGATCTAATAAAATCTAATTGAAATGTACTAAAAAAAAATACCAACATATTATTAAAAATTTTACAAATCTCTCAATTACAAATAACATTCAGTTAATGATAAAATTTTCACAAGATACATTGGATCAATTGCCAATCGTTTTTTTTTATTTATAAATAATATGTTTTTAAAGCATTTTTCTAAAAATATATTGGACCTGAACGTCACGTCTCGTTATATTGAATCATTTTTTTTTTTTTGCAATAATTATTATAATTTTTTATTTGACCAATTCATTAAAAAATTTAATTACATGTACATATTTGTTTTAATTATAATAAAAGTAACAAAAAAGGGGAAGTGAATAATTAATTAATATTATTAATATGTATATAAAATAATAATCGTCAGTTTTATTTAATAATTATTGTGATGTTTTGCATCACCAGAAAGTTTCGTTGCAGTGCCTTCATTTTCCATTTTTTTATTGCCCAACGCATGGCCAACTTTTTCTTTGGTGGTACCAGTTGCTTTTTCTTTTGTACCTTTAGAAAAGAAGAAAGTAAAAAAAAAAATTGAATATTAAATTAAATGAAAATTTTTTCGCAAAAACAAATAAATTATTATTTATTACCTTCTTTATGACCTTGAATTTTAATGGCTTCACGTTCACCTTGACCTATAATTATTATAAAAAAACTATTAATCACTTTTTTTCCACAAGCTGTGGTGGTAATCAATTCTTATTTTTTTACCTTGTAATTTTAGTGATTCGCCTTCAAGTTTCATTTTTTCATTACCCAACGTTTTACCGAGTGATTCTTGGGCAGCACCCTTATAATATTTCAAATTAGCATTGGTTTTCGTTGGTTGTTGGTCTTGTTGGTCTTGATGACCTTGTTGGTCATGATAGTCTTGATTGGTTTGATGTTTGTGATCAGTCATTTTGATTGATGAATAAATTAATAATAATAGTGATTTATTTTCAAATTATTTGTTATTATTTATTATTTGTTATTATTTATTATTTGTTATTATTTACTGTTTTATTTGATGGATTTGTTTTTACTGAAAATTAAAATTTCCTCGAGGTATTTATATTTAATATCGTTACAAACATTACAAATGGTGATGTAATAAAATTACATCATTAATTTACGATGATCGTCAAATAAAATACAAATTTGGATTTTTTGTGGCTGATAGAATATAATATAATAAAATGGATTAGATAAGATCGAATATGAATGCATATACTAGTGATTGCGTATTTGTTCGTAATTATTAAGTCAATACTAGTACTAGTGATTCAAATAAAGTGGCATATATCTAACTGTATTAGTTTTTAAAATGTCACGATAATATTTGGAATTGTTCGTTCATCAAATGATTATGACGTAGCCTTTATATATAGATATGGATATTTTACGAGTAAATCAGAGGTCCCAGGATTTTAAAAAGGGAAATATGACGGCAAAATATACGTGAAGGAAAAGAATTTATATTTTAATAAATGGAAAAAAACTAAAAATGGGAGGGTTAATAATAAACGCAATTAATGATGCTAATAAAGAAAGAATAATGGCAATTTCGAATATTCCCCTTTAACTTTGCTGGATACGGAAATATTTCTTCTTAGTCTGCCTCCAATGGTAATATGTACAAAGTATTCCCAGATAGATTCACTTTCGTTTCAATTAGTTCACAAATTTCTTTAAACCTTTGAAAGATTCCTCTCCGAGAAATTAACGATGATAACTTTTTACAATGTATGTTTTACAACCGACTTTAACGGTACCTTCTCCTCTATGATCTTCCAATTCTAAATTGCGGTACATCATAATATATAGTCTTCGATGATGTAATAACAACATTTATAAATGTATATTTTACAATAAAGAAGTTGTAACACAATGACTCAAATTCTTCGCCATCTTTTTTCTTGGATCGAAAAAATTACTTTTGGGTGTCAAGCTTTTTCCATAATCATAAATACAGTTGCAGAAAACAACAATGGTTTATTGTTAATATTAACACTAATATTAATACTAAAGAAGTAAAGACAAAAAGCGCATGATTTATTTGATTAAACAAGAAGGTAATAATGACAATGTGTGCATTCCTTTTATGAAATAAACTTCACTTGTTAAGTTAATCTTTAAAATATTAAAGAATTATATCGTAAATATGATACTTGTTCGTTCAACAACGCACTCGCCCATTGATAACACTATGACCAACACACCTTCTTTTGGTCAACTAGACTCGAGTGCACAGTCAACTATCGACATCCAAAAAATGTTGATCTTTTCTAATTATTTATTTTCTTGATTATTATTTATTATTTTTTTTTGTATTTCGATGTGCACGTTATTTGATTCGCTATTTTACGTCAGTCGACAACCATTTGAGTAATACCCAAAACTATTTGCTAGTAAATATCCTATTCAGTTTAAATTCATTATCCCAAAATCAATCGACAACTATATTTACGGTCGTTTGAGTTGTTAGAGACATGCATTAGCTGAGATCCATTTTATATAGGCTCCCACCTGAAATTTTTATAATTAAATTCAAAAATCATAAAGCACTTGATGTATTAAATAACTACCTCATAAACAACAACGACTAACTTTGCCATTACCACATATTCTTTCGTTTCAAGCAGAAACTCCCCTCAAATATTCAATCTCGAAATTTGACCTGAACTGAAACTCTTGTCCGATGAAGTCATGAAACTCCTCTCTCGTTTAATTCCCAATTTTTATTGAAAATTACCATCAAATACGCAAAGATTCTTAATACGATAAGCATTAAAAAACGATATAAACTTATAAAGTAAGCATATGCTATGATTACACAAAAACAAAAAAATAAAAATTACTAATGGCGATAGTCATGAGATTTGGGAAATTCTATTATTCGAAAAGTTCTTTAAAAGAAAGAGCAACACTATTACTATTACTATAAATTCAATCCAAATGGGGTGCGAAATACTATTATAGAATTTCGGAAATTCTGATAAATTTTTAGAATGTCCGATTATTAACAACTTTAAAGCCTGTTTGCTTGGTACAATAATAACTTGAAATATTTATCTTTTTAATGAAAAAAAAGGAATGGTATGCCTTTTGCATAAATGTCAATTGGTAATACATTTTACTTTTAAAGTTAGCCGAGGGAAATTTTCTTTTGATGAATTTTCTTGGTTAGAATTTTTATTTCCCATTATTTGTAATCAGTGCGCTAATCAACTTAATTGATTATTCTTTTCTACCTCCCCCCCAAAAAATCTCTCAAGGTGCTAAAACTGATATTTTTAATGAAAAACCATCCAATCAGCTTTGAGATTCACGGTCACATACAATAGTAATGGGTTTTTTGGTCCCCCTCTCCCAACATTTTTAAGCCACCTGAATATGACATCATCATTAGATGGAACAAGATAAATTATGCAATCTGTTGTCACCTGTTAAATTTAAAGATCGGAGTTAAAAAAGATACTTTTCAGAATTACCCTAAAGTATTTCGGAAACGGTAAAAATAGTTCAACCAACCACTTTCCCACAATCACGCACGCGTTTGTTTGTGGACAAAAGTTATAAAAAAATTATTTTGCCAAGAAGTTTTTAACTTAATAGTCAACTAATACATAATGGCTTTATCAACTTACTCGTATCCTATAAAAGGAATTTTCTTTTTTATTAGTAATTGGAGTTTAGTTCGAAGAGTCTTACTTGTATTAGTGGTTATATTTTTTGTAGCTTTGGCAATAATAGGATTTTCATTTGGATTCCTTTTAAAAGTTCAAGCCACCGCATTAATAAATGCAAATTGTCCAGCTTGGTTGGCTTGGATAGTTTCCGTCATTTTTTGTCTGATCGAAAGTGCGATATCCACAATCATCATTTACCTGATCATTACACCTATATGGCAAGATGCTTTATTCGATGATGTCTTGAGATTAAAAGGTGTTGGTCATGTGTTGGATAAAGATGGAAAAAAATCAACATCTGACTTATTAGCATGTTGTCGTGGAATTTGTTCAGGACTTGGTCTATTAATATCTCAAATTTATGCATTAGTAATATTTCAGGTATTTATAATCTATTATTATTATTATTATTGCTTTCTTTAAAAATAAATACATGTAAAATTAATAGTATCATGTTATTTTTTTAGGCAATCACACTTTTAATTACATTACCATTACATCTATTGCCATTTGTTGGTACAATATTATACTGTTATATAAATGGTTGGGTGGCATCATGGGGTCATCAACTACATTATCACCTAGAGATTAAAGGATGGAGTGTAAATCAATCCAGAGCATTTGCATGGAAGAATAAAGGAAGTTATATTAGGTTTGGTGCAATGGCTGTAGCACTTGAATTAATACCAATAGCTAATTTTTTATTTTTTTGGACAAACGTTGTTGGTGCTGCTTTATGGACTGCTGATGTAAGTCATGCGTGTCCTATCCTTTGTAAAAAAGTGATTGATTGAACAATAATGATTCATGACAATACTAAATATTATTATTCTTATAGGTTATTATTATTGAAGAGAGAGCGGCAGCATCAGAAGTTAATGATGATTCAAGTAATTTGATTGATGATGATAATAATAATCAATCTTTTTCTTCAACATTGCCATATCAATCTAATATGCAAACGAAAATTAATAAAAAAAAATAAAATAGGAAAAAATTCCATTATTTATTTACATGATGTATTTATCTATTTAATTTATTTACTAATTTACATTCATTCATTTATTCATTACAATAAAACAATATGTAAATAAAGAACACTCTGAGTTAATCATATTTTTTAAGAAATTTTTATTGTCATTTAAAAAACTACTTACATACATACATAAAATCATAAAAGTAAAATACGAAAATATATAATAATGATGTGAAAAAAAAAGTAAGAGATAATATTTGTTAAAACAAATTTAATAATATTCCGAGAGTAATATATAATAACAAAGAAAATAAATCTAATTAATTAATGCTTCTACCACTTGATCAACCTTTCTTTTATGTTTTTTCAATAATTCAATCAATCTTCTATCATTATTGTTTCTAAATCCCATTTCTTCAAGACGTTGAAGTTCATCATAATATAATGCTCTCTCAAGATCCAAACCATCGTCAATAATAGTTTTTGGTGGTGGTGGTGGTGGTGTTGAAATGATTTCCTGTCTTGCTATTGTTGTTGAATTTGAACTAAAACGATCAGGTGATGATCTCTCATTGTCATCAAAACTAACTCTACTATTACGATTACCACGATTACCACGATTACCATTTGAAATTCTTACAGGTTGTTGAAGCCAAGAAACTTCGTCATCTTTATTATTTATAGAAAATGGTTTTGTAGGAGCTTCTTTTTGTATAGTTGACGTACTTACAAAGCTATAAGTTTTGTTTTTATTATCTTTTGGACGATAAGACTCTAACCATTCACGACAAACTTCAAAATCAACTGGTTTTCCGATGAGAATTTGATCCATTGTACTATCAGCCTTTGTTTTCAATTCTTCATTAGAACTAATAACATCATCGTATTGTATTATCAAGGCTTGAAATTGTTGTACTAACTCCATAACATCTGGTTTTTTTTCTTCTCGTACAATTGTTGGATAGTTGTTATATGATGAAGATGAAGATGATGCAGTTGTTTCAAAACGCCTATTGTTGTTGTTGTTGCTGCTGCTATCATAGCTGCTAAATTTGTAGCTATTACTATAAGTTTTATTTTGTCTTTCTTCATCATATTTGTTGCTGCTGCTCTTATCATAATTGCCAAAGTTGTAAATACTGCGCCTTTCTTCACTTTTCTTCACAACTTTTTCATCATCGTCATCGTCATTATTATTAACACTGAAAACCCGTTCGATAATATCTTCTTTTACAAGTTTATCATCATTATCATCATTATCATCATCATCATCATCTTCTTCTTCTTCTTCTTCTTCTTCATCTTCTTCATCATCTTCATCATCTTCATCATCATCTTCATCTTCATCTTCATCTTCATCATCATTCTTATCTTTATCTTGATTGTCTGCTGTTGAAATCAAATTTTTCTCACCACTAGTATATTTATCAT